ACAAGAGCTGAACAGAAAATTTCAAAGATCAGCTCGAGAAGACAAAGTCAAATATTACAAAGAAATGTGCAAAGATCTGGAGTGAGAAAACCAAAATGGAAGAACAGCTCTTGAGCTGGGTGGGGGACCTCAAGAAAAAGTTCAAGCCTTCACGTTCATTATTGAAGGATTCTCTGGGCAAATTATTAAATGATGCAGAAAGCATCATTTGGTAGAGTGACTGTACCAAAAGGAAATGGTTGATGTTTAAGAGGTAGGAAGCCGTCCAAGGTGCATTGAAGGAATTGGCAAAGAACAAGGCACTGGGGATTGATGGAATAAAAATGGAAATCTTTCAAGAAAGTGAGGTGGCACAGGAGGCACTCACTCATCTATGCCAAGAAATTTGGAAGACAACTATCTGGCCAACTGATTGGAAGAGTTCTGTATTTGTGCCCATTCCAAAGAGAGGTGACCCAACAGAATGTGGAAATCATCGGACAATCTCTTTGATATCCCATGCGAGTAAAGTTTTATTAAAGGTAATACAGAAATGGCTGCGAGCATACATTGACAGAGAACTTTCAGAGGTTCAAGCAGGATTCAGAAGAGGACATGGAATGAGGGATATCATTGCTGATGTCCGATGGATCTTGGCTGAAAGCAGAGAATACCAGAAAGATGTTTACGTGTGCTTTATTGACTACGCAAATGCTTTCTATTGTGTGGATCATGACAAGCTATGGACAAAAATGCAAAGTATGAGTATTTCAGAACACTTAATTGTGCTTATGAGGAATCTGTACATGGACCGAGAAGCAGTTGTTCGAACAGAACATGGGAACACTGAATGGTTTAAAATTAAGACAGGTATGTGACAGGGTTGTACTTTTTCACCATACTTATTCAGCCTGTATGCTGAGCAAATAATCCGAGAAGCTGGATAATACGAAGAAAAACGTGGCATCAGGATCGGAGGAAGACTCATTAAAAATCTGCAGTATGCAGATGATACAACCTTGCTTGCTGAGAGAGGACTTGAATATTTACTGATGAGGATCAAAGAGCACAGCCTATAGTGGTCAAAACAGCTTGGAATGCAAAGGTTGGGAGCAAAGAGGAAGGATCAGAAGTTGGAAAATATGGCCTTGGTGATAGAAATGATGCTGGAGAACGCATAACAGAATTCT